CCCCCCCCCCCCCCCTCTCTCTCTCTCTCTGCTTCGTGATTCGAACACTCGAGAACAAGCAAAATGGGGCCGGCGGAGCAGAGGGCGAATCTGAACCGTCTGATGAATCGGTTGTGGGACCGCGAAAGAAGAGGAGAGATTGACACGTGGAGAATCCATATTCGATGAACGATGTGGTCGTGGGCCCCATTGGCGAATGGGCTTGAGTATGTTGGATGTCAGCGAATGGTACGGTATTTTTTATTATTCGATGAATCAGCTTAATACACGTATTTATCCATTTAATATCCCAAATATTCTTTTTTTTTTGCTCGCTATTTTACCAATTTAACCCTCTTCTTCTGTGAATATTACACTCATCCAAATTTAAATCTATTTATTTATTTATTTACATATATTCACAAAATCAACTTAAACTCCAAATTTAATTTATAATTTCTTAATTTTACCTGTATTTTTTAATTTACTCCAAGTCAACTTTCACTGCTTCTTAGGATTAAAAAATAATATAATAAATTAAGTTCCATTTTTACCGATTTACCCTTTATTTTTATTTTTAATTATTATTTGTGGTTTCTTCATTTCTTAGACTTCCCTTTTTCTAAATTACTTTTTAATTTTTTTTATTTCTAATATTATATAAATAGTCATTATAATTATACCTCGACTAAAAATAAAAAAATATTTTAAATAATTTAAAAAAAATAAAAGTATATTATTGGAATAACATGACTCGTGACTTCATTAATATAGTAGATTATAAATAATTCAATATATTAAAAAAATAAAATATCACTGAATAATTTAATGAAAGTTATGGATAACCTTACCTTCGTGCTAAATTAAAATAGCCGTTATTGCATGTTGGATTTAGTATTAAATTATGTTTTATTTATTAAAAAATAAATTGATGTTTCAATTTATGTTATTTAATTAATTTTTATGTGATGGGCGGTGGGATTTGGGGAAGCTTCTTCTGGCTTTTAAAATCTCTTTATTTTTTATAATAATTTATGGACTAAATAAATGCGAGATACGTCACTCTGCCACGTGTCATACGTGTTTTAATTTTTTTTTTCAGAAAATCATTATTATAGTCAAAGGCGAATGTTTGACCAAAAAGAAAACAGTAAAGGGAGGGTATAACTGTAATTAGCAACCTCAACCATAAATAATTAAAAAAAAATTAAATTTATGTCTATTTGTTTTTTGCTTTTAAATTTTCAGAAAATATTTAATAAAATCCTTCCATTTTTAAATTTGTATTTAATATTTTACAAATATGATCTGATTCGATTGTATGACCAATAATTCAAATTAATTAAAATAATTTAAATATTAAACAAATCTAATATTATTTTTGATTCTATAAATTTGTTAAATATTTTTTTAAAGTCTGTCGGAAAAGTTTAAGCCTAAATTTATTTTTTTTAAGTGAGTTAAATAAAAAAAAAATTAAGGGTTAATTATGGAAATTACCAAAAAGGCAACCGGCCCACCTGGATAAATCTGACAAGAGGGGGGACAAAAGCCGGTGGTCGGTTAAGATTTGTGTTGCGTTTTGAAGCAGCTTTACCTAAATTAGTCGGTCCCTTAATTTTCATTTATTCTAATTTTATATTAACTTTTATATTATATATATACTATTAAAACCATTTAAAAAATGTTTATACTTCAAGTCTTTCACCATGTGGTTAATTTTGTTTTGTCAAGGTAACTCAACTTTTTACCGTAATATTCCACTTTTTTAGAAAAGCGATGGGACAAGCCTTCTAACTATTGTCTTTGATCGAATATATCGAGGGTTGACGTGGCACTACATCATAGGTCCACCGCACTACGCTTTTGCCTTTTTATTTGTCTGTCATAAATTGGGCCGAACTCGCAGGTTATTATAGCATCCAATTATTATCCGTATAAATATTCCTTCCCACTAGCTTACTCCATTTTATTTATCTAGATAATTAAAACATTTATTTTAGTTCTTAAAAAAAACTTATTTTGGTCACAATATTTTTTAATTTAATACTCGTCTCATAGGTAAGTGGCTTCAATTTAGGCTCGTTGATATATATCTTCAAAATTACATCGTTTTTGTATCAAATAGTTTAAGGACAAAATGAATATATATATAATATGTGGACATTATGGATGATGTTGGGTTGAGTTCGACAAATGGGTCTTACAGTCAAGTTTCCGTATGCCTGTGCACTCGAGGGTCAATCTCTGTCTAGCTCGAGAAAATCTTTGCATGCCTCTGTTACCTTCTGGGAAACCTACGCCCCATAAAAATTGTCTACCTAAACTTGTATCTTAGTTGTAGGTCCTGACACAAGTTTAAAATTCTAGCTCTTTCAGAGTAGTATCTCACTAACGGCTCAAATCCCGAAATGGGACCTTCTTTGCCCTCCACTGAAATACAGAGTCTTTCTGTCTATGGTTATATTTTTAGACTCAACTCAATTGTTAAGCTAGATTAATTTGAATAATTCGAGTAATTTATTCAAATTTTTGTTTTTAATATATAAAACTATCTATTTAATTATCTTTAAATAGAAAATTAAAGATTTTTAATTAAGTTAAAATATTTATTTTGAGAAATTATATTTGAAATACTAAACAATTTATTTAATTATATTTCAAATTTTTTTATTTTAAATGAGAATATTAACAACCTAACTATTTAATTATTACTCTTTTTATAAAAAGAAGTGTGATTATATTATCAAAGACAACTCGAATATCGTAATGATCAAATAAATAAATTAAAAAAATAGTGGACGGAAAAGCAATTAAGTAAAAAATTAAAAAAAAAAAAAAAATGGCAAATTCATTGAACCTAAATTATGGGGAAGCGACAAAAAAGATTCTTCAATTTGTGAATGTACGGACACGTCATTCCAATTCCTGTGGGTGCGCGCACATGAGATTCTTTCCCGGGGCTACGCCTCCGGTTTTCGTGGCGGATTTGTCTTATCACGTGTGGCCGCACGTATGCTTATCAACGTGCATCCGCTTCACTATTGGGCGGGAGATTTTGATTTTGATTGGGACCCACCGCCACGTCAGACAATGCAAAGACCCCAGTTCGCAAATCTGGACTCACTAGGGACTAAGGCAACAATTTCATATGATTCTGAGGACCTGAGTGTAAAATTTTGAAATTTAAATTAAAAGAGTTAATAAATTAAAAATTAAAAATTTGTACGAAATTAATTAAAAATTTGAAAATATTTGAAAATTCACCGACTAAATTTATATTTATTTAAAAATGTTTAAAATAATAATTTATCAAACATTTTAAAAATTAAAAAAATTAAAATTGTAATTTTATGCATATATGGGCCCAAAAGGCCCAAGAGGCTTTTTTATGCAATACGGGCTTTATGGATCCAATAATCGGCCCAATATAAAGCCCAACTCGCTGAATACAGATTTGGGCCGGCTCAAACGAGGGCTTAAAATGGATCGGCCTAAAAAGAGGGAAGTCACGAGCAAAGCATGCGCGCAGCTGTATGGGATTCTTGACGGATGCTTCCCTCTGAAACTCGCTCGTGTTCGGCAGCTGGCAAATCCGGCGGTCTAAAGCGCCCCCACGGCGGTTCCGTTCACTGATAACCGCCTAGAGGCGGCGGCGGCTGTCCTGCTCTGCCATTGATGTTATATCTTCCTTTGGTTAACATCAAATCTCAGCCAAGTTTCACAGCCTTCTGTACTCTTTTCGTTCGGGGTTCTCAAATAAAATCGCACTTCGATTTTGGTGCTTGGCAGCGTCTTCGAATTGGTGCAATTCCGTAATCTTTCTGTTTGTGGAGCTGTACAGGGAGTTGAAGTGTCGGTAGAGAAGGATTGGAGGCGTGGACCGGCCAATCTGAATAAAATCCAAGTATGAGAACGGGGAAAAGCAATCAGGAAGATGAAGAGTATGAGGACGACGAGATGGTTGCTAAACGAGAGGGGCCTTCTTCTACTTCCAACGCTAATAGTAGCATCGGAAATAGCAAAGGTATCTTGTTTATGCACGCTGGCCTGCTTCTAGATCCAATTCCTCGATTTTTGATGCAGTGTGATGTCATGCTGACATGCCCATAGTCTGCCCTTCTTAATTCGATGTATTTTTCCTTATGATGCTACCCCGTGTTCTTGATTTTATCGATTCTGTTCTCAATTGTGAATTTCAGTTGACCATGTTGCTCTCCCTGTATCTAAGTTTTATCCTCTGATCATATCTATGAAACTCTCAATTCGCCATCATTGATTCTAGCATCGGTTATTTAGGATTATGACGTTTCAAGGGATTGGTTTACTTTTATCAGTTATTTATTTATTTAAATTGTAACTGAACTTGGACCCAGATGCGAAGAACAACGATAGGGCTAATGCCATACGGTCGAAGCACTCTGTCACCGAGCAGCGTAGAAGAAGCAAGATAAATGAGAGGTAATCTCTGCAAACAGTCATTCAGGAGTTTCAAGATTGCTAGAGAGATTATTCTGATCACATTGCAGGTTTATTTTTTCTTTTGTTTGTGAATCATGCTGAATGATTGTAACGGCCCAGGCCCACTGCTAGCAGATATTGTCCTCTCTAGGTTTTCCCTTTCGGGCTTCTTCTCAAGGTTTATAGAACGTGTCTTCTAGGAAGAGGTTTCCACACCTTTGTAAAGGGTGTTTCGTTCTCTTCCCCAACTGGTATGGGATCTCACAACAATTTTAGCTCATTGGTTAACCTATTGTAGAGAATATGGACCTCCTATCTATGATCCGAGAAGGATTTTCCTTTATTACTTGAGTTTGGCGTCGTGGGTTTCATTTATTCTTACGGCTTAAAGGAACTAGTCCACCCTTATTTTCATGCCTGAATGATGCAATTATATTTCTCTTACCTCTGCAACCTTAAACGACCAACCTCTATCTCATTTCAGATTCCAGATTTTGAGAGATCTTATACCTCACAGCGATCAGAAGAGAGATACCGCGTCATTTTTATTGGAGGTATACAGTCGCTTATTGAAATTGGGACAATGTTGAAGCTCAAAAGTATTTTTTCTCCATGCGCTTCTCGGTAAAGCTTGCTCATCTGCCATTGACTAAAATTAGTCTTTCTATGCAGGTGATCGAGTATGTTCAGTATTTACAGGAGAAGGTGCAGAAGTACGAGGGTTCTTATCAGAATTGGAGTGGGGAGCCTACTAAGCTAATACCATGGGTAAATACCAAATGCTCTTCCTTTATTGCGTTAAGGAGTTTTCAGTCACTAACTTGCTTGCCAGCTTTAATTTTGTAATAACGTTGCATAAGATTAGCTGTCTTATTAGTTGGTGGGACAACATGAGCGCTGTGTCCCTCAAATCTTTAATTGTGGAATTATTATTATAGTCCTTTCTGTTCCTTTGTATTGCATATGATCTGTCCCTTTTTTATTCGCTTCCTAATAGACATTAAGCTAGTTTCCAGTGGCTCGAGGTGGGACATAGAAGCAAAATATTGTTTTTGGATGATGCATTGGAAGATAATTATCCTCTAAAAACCACATTCCTCAGCTCATAAAATATGGACTAAGTTAGTTGTGAGAAGGATTATGCAGATGAATATATAAGGAGGTGGAGGGTTGCCGAAAAAGTCTGTCGGAAGAGGAAATTATACCCGCCAATGCCAAGAGGACGTCGGACGATGTGCCAGTTCGGATCTTTCCCAACCAACAGTTTTATTAACTAAGCCCACAGATTTAGAGTTTGATCTTTGATAGGAATGTAATTAAGTTGGTGTCAAACGGAAAAACCTAGAAGAAAATTAAAATTCACCCGATTTGAATTTTGAAGTTTGAACCACTAAATGTGCAAAGGCGATGACCCAATTGGATGAATACTTTGATTAGGTTGCTGTGCAAGGAAAAGAATGGGATTTATCCGCATTTGCTTTCCACTGCAATTATGGTATAAGATATTTGAATGTAGCTACAGAATCATTTAATCTACAATGGGTTCTCATGCATCTATTAGGTGGAATACCCCATCTTACTGATGGGAGTGGTTTCAGTTGGAAGACAAAGATTGTTTGGGTCAACCTATCGTCTGTTACGTCGGAGCTATTGCAAAGATATCATAGGTTAGTTAACGGTGAGACCTTGGGAGGAGACCATGGTGGTAGAGTAGAGAAGTCTAGAGTTAATGCTTGTCCGAAATACTTTATATCCTATTTAATTCAGTCTGTAGGACAGTCTCATAAACTTCTAGTGGGGTGAAAAGGAATTTTGTTATCACATGAACTTCGAGGGAAAAGAAGTTTGGATATAAAGGTAAAGACTTTGGATTGTACATACCCAAGAGTCACAGGGTTCAAAATCCTTCAAAGCCCCACTAAACTGCAAATATCTTGCCAATCTCTCGACATAAATTGTTCATTATATTAGGTATTAGGCTCCATTTATACCTAAGATAATTTGGATGATTTCTGGGAGTTCTTTCATAGGTTTCCAGTTGCTTTAGTCACTGTAGGAATTCTTTATTTTTTAAGTATTTCCTGGTGATTGTATTAGTTTGTTGTTCAAGGCTGGTATATAGCCTTTATTGGAGGTCTCTAGGTTCTAAGAGGTATTATTTCATTTCAAGAATCCTCCAAGATTTGTGGTACTCTCGTTTTGGTATCAGAGCCCCTCGACAAGGGGGACTATCATGGCTAGGGAAAGAACTCCACCACCTCCAGCATTGATGTAGATCAGATCGGTGAAGGGGCTGAAATTCTCACTCTGCAAGCAATCTCTCAACGACTCATTAGTATGGAAGAATCCATTGAAGAATTGAGAAATAGCCAATTGGAGGTTCACCAAATGGTGGTGGCTTTTACCGAGAAGATGACAGTGTCCACTCAGCCAATTCATAACCCATAGCTAGGCTCTAACACCGCAGTACCCACTTACCCTGGAATACAGCAACCGCACAATCCAAGTAGACAACAAGAACAAGCAAGAAACCTTCAACCACCTCCTAACCAACCAATTCTAAATTATTACAGAGAAGAAGAGCAACATTTTCATCAAATCTCCTTTCATAAGAACTCCCACAGTCAATAAACAAAGCAACTGCAAACCTATTAAACCAAGTAATGCTACATCAGAGATGACTCAGGGCTCTCTAACTACATTAAGGTCTTAATAATGTTTTTTTTTTCCAAGTAATAATGTCTGTTTCTATTCTATGATTCAAGTCCAACATTGATGTGCAAGTCAATAATATTTACCTTTCTTTCGACCTTATTTGCTTGCATTGGATAGTGGTTGATGCTTAATCTCATCTAGGATGTGTATAATTCTTTGAATCGAGAATATTGTTCTGCTGAGGAAATTCTCTCTTTAATATTCTGAACTTCACTGTGTTATGCAGAGAAATACTCATTGGCGTATGCAGACTTTTGTTGGTCATCCACAGTCTGTAAAAAATGGTTCTGCTTCAGGACCAACGTATTCAGGGAAGTTTGATGACAACAACATTTCAATTTCCCCAGCCATGCTTGCAAGCTCACAAAATCCCCTCGACTCCCATTCAGGCAGAGATGTTCTGCAGGATGCTGACATAACAAATAAAGTTCCACTTCCCATGTCTCTGGAAGGAAATATACATGCTTCTATCCGTAGTGACGGTGTTCTAGATCAATCTCTCCAGATTCCAATTTCCGGTGGACAGGCAACGGAGTGTCCCATCGCCAACAATGCATCAAGCCAACCAGAAGAGATGGCTATTGAAGGGGGTACAATAAGCATTTCAAGTCTTTATTCAGAAGGGTCAGTTGTAAGATATATATATACTGATTTCGTTTCAAGTATTTTGATAGGTTATGGAGATAACATGAGCAGAAGTTTTATATTCACCTCATTATACTGCAATTGTTTTAAATATACAAAGCATATTTTTTACAAAAAAAAAGAATCAAACTTTTTTTAAACCGCATAACTGTCTCCTGGATCCTGATAAGTTCGAAATAGAACCATCGAGTTTCCACTGCTTTTATGGTTTGTCTTACAATTTTTTCGTGTTTTTACCACTCTGATCGTGTACTGCTTATTCATTTCACATATTTATCTTACATTGGCAAGTTTATGCACCAATTATTTATAAACACATATCCTAACATTTTAATTTTAGTGTTTTTTTTTGGACGGGAGGGGGAGTGTGGTGTCTTTGGTGGAGGATACTCATCACAGGATGAACTTCAAAGCCTCTTTGAAGTGTTTAGAACGATTGACATCTAGATACCTGGAAAGATGTTTTCACCAATTTTGTTGGAATTTTAACTCCTGGGCTTGATTTTGCAATGACTATATAGATGTTAAAACTTGAGCAATTATTTCATATCCATTGTATTGTCTTAACTTCATGGTTTAGATATTTCTTGATGAAGTTTCTTCCTACTTCATAAATATAGCTATAATAATGATTTGACCTTTAGTAGAGCTTGTTCAAATCCCAGCATATAGGATGTCTGAATAGTTGCTTTTGGAGGCGTTCATTTGCATGGTCTCTTCCTAGGATTTGGTAACAGCTCCGGAACTTGGTGCTAAGCAGGTTATTGAACAGCTTGACTCAAGCTCTGCAGAATACTGGACTGGATTTGTCACAGGCTAGTGTCTCCATTCAGGTTGATCTTGGAAAGAGAGCAAATAAAGGTCCCCCATTTGGAATGCCCATTTTTAAGGTATGAACTTAGAATCTCAGTTCTTGATTTTCTGGTGTACGGTTCGATATCGTGTTTTTCCTGATATTTTCCTCATCGTAGTAGAAAGCAGGCAAGAGATTAGAGAACTATAATAGGAAACGAAACTAGAAATTCAATCTGAGAAACTTGCTGTGACAAAAATGTTGACATAGAACGCAACAGTTAACACCACCAAATCTTTAGTCTTTCATATTGTTTTAAGCTCTCCAATTTCTGACCAGGAAACTGGCAACCCTTCCTCCTCCGGCCACCCTGCAATGGCACACGTAGGGGACCTGGGTAGTGGAGATGACTCAGAACAAGTGAAAAAGCGGCTAAGAACATGACGATCTGGCAACTCGAGTCCCCGGTTTATTACACCGCACAGTTACTGTTTTTATTGTGAATCTCTGAATGTGATGTCTATTGTACAGATCCTCTTTTCTTTATCTTGCTTGGCATTTTACACAATTTCTTCAAGCTCATATTGCTATAACCATCAGTGTTAGGAAATCCAAGTTAAAATTTGGTACTCAGTTCCAAATTCTCCAGTTTCCATCGCTCTGTATTCTATGTTTGTAGTTGTATCACAATATAAATGGGAACCTCTCAAACAGAGCTTTAAAGAGGGCGTTTTATTTCCACTTTACTACATTGCTTGTCTCTACTGATTTCTCCCTTTTCTAATCTCTCAATGTTATTACATATTCTTCAAGATTCAACTATCTGATCTTGTGAATTGCTTATCTGGTCCCTTTTCTATGACTAATTTCTCTGATCATAAGAACATTGCAACAGAATTGGACCAAAGAGGGCCGGAATCTGTGTTTATACAGGCAATTCCTTTGAGATTCTGAGCTTTCTGGGCAGTTCTAAATGAAGCAAATGCTGAAGCTCTGCTACTGCTCACTCAGGAAGATGCTAAGAGTATGCAAAATATAGATCTCTTTTATATATTCCTCTCTTCCAGTCTAAATTGTACTAATGATGAAATGAATTTTTGCATTTGATCCATTTTGCAATTTCTAGGATTGATCGTCCGAATGTTTGAACCTTGAGCCAAGAAACTCGTCTCAATCGATTCGGAGAAAATCGAGGTTCACATAGCTAAAAGGTCTCTATTTTTTAATTCACTAGGGTATTTGTGTCCTTTGATGTCGCATGTTTCATATCATATAAATTCTTGATTGAAGGTTTCAGCATTGTCCCCAAAGCAATGTACATTATTCTCTGAAACTTCATGCCAATCATTTAAGGGTTTGTTAACCAAACAAATTGTATGAACAACTTTGACCAATAAGATATAGTAAGTAACAAATTCATTTGTTGTTAAATCCCTTCATGAATACGTCTTTTTATTAAATAGAAATGATTAACTATGCTACTTTGTTTAATTGATGTGCTCGAAAAGATGGAAGTTGACAGACACATCTCTTGAAAGTGCATCGGTCTTCTAAAGAATAACTTACTAATAAGAATAAGAATGTAGAACGAACCCTGTGTAATATAGTTCAAGCCCACTATTAGTAGATATCGTCTGATTTAGTTTGTTAATATCACCGTTAGCCTCACAATTTTAAAATGTGTTTGCTAGGGAGAGGTTTCCACATCTTTAACGAATGTTTCGTTCTACTCTCTAATCACACCCTGTTTCAAATGTCAAATGACATTTATAGGCATAAAGTTGATTTGATTGCAAACGATAAATGAGGGCAATAAGAAAGTAGGCACAAAGTCACCCATAGATTAGCATGAAATTTAAAAAGTACATCAACTTCAATGGAAAGGTTTTCTCGACCAATGATGACACCAAGTTAGCTTTATTTCTTGTCACAATGATAATGCATTGATTCTATACACTTCACCATTGTTCCATGTTTATTCACTTTCCTCCATTTCCCTGTCTTGTCTTTTCACTCCATTTCCCTGTCTTCTCCTTTTTCCTTTTCTTCTTCTACTTCAAATTCACCCACTACTTTGATATATTTAGACAAATAACCTAAAGGGAATCAAATCACACTTCAATGAAATGGCTAGTTTGGTTTCATTTAATCCTTTAAATAAGGTTTTTGTGTGCCTTCTTTTTCTGTTCCTTTCTTCTAATTGACTCTCATCTGAAGTTTTCAGGTAGGGTTTGGTTTTCAAACTTCCAATCTTAGCTAGCAGTCAAGATTCAACCCCGCTCAACTCATATGTTTCATCAATAAAGAAATGAGATCCCACGTCAGTTAGAAAGGGGAACGAAACATTCCTTATAAGGGTATGAAAACTTTTCCCTAGTAGACGTATTTTAAGATCGTGAGGCTAACGGTGATACATAACAGACCAAAACAGACAATATCTGCTAACGATGGGCTTGGGTTATTACAAAGGAAACCATCCAAGTCTTAGAAGAACCAGAAAACTTCTATCAATTTTCATGGCCAACCATGTCATACCATCCTTGTATAAATCAAAGAGCCCTACAAATAAGTGATTGGTAACAAGAAAGAACCATGGTTTACAAGCATAGGAGAAACATGGCCGACTGGTGAATTTTTCAGAGAGAGAGAGATAAGGTATACTAATACCTTAAATTTCACATAATAGGCCAAACTGTAAAGAATAACTATGAATGAAGTGCACAGCCTCCAGTAAACAATACATCTACTTACATGTGTGTGGAAATAAATTTGGATGATGCACAAACAGAATCTTACTCGAGAGATAGCAACGAACCAATCAAAATCTGCAACATAGAAGGCCCTCCCTCCAACCTCTGTACTTCCGGTAATGCCTCCGTTCAGCTTTTACCATTTTAACTGGGCTACTATTCCATTCAGACTGTAATCTATAAAACCAGAGAAGACATATAATTTACCTTAGATTACAATTTAGAAAGGGATAGGGAAGGAAGAAGCTTGAGAGGTGAAGTTAGATTGGGACTAACATGGGAAAGGCAAAAGAATGTGTGCTTGTTGTGCTACTTTCCGATCGAAGAGAGACGCTTCCAGGCCCCGAGTAAGTAATAAGACTAGCTAATGGATCTGCAGCAGAGAAACTAGACTCGCCTATGTCGTATGTGGACTGACTTGAAACTAGTCGACTATCTGATGTTCTACATTCCAGATTGGTTGAAACTTGTGTTCCCGAATCGCTTCCACGCCACTCCTGTGTCCCTGCACTGCTGGTTATGGGTGCAGGATAGTTTAAGTTGGTATTTCCATGATGTTCTTCTACACCATTGGCCACAGAACAGATCGAATTGAAATTAAATGCAATACTTCCATTCTCAGATTCATTGTTATAAGCTGACTGATGTGTTCGGTTGACATCTTTTGGTGGTTCTGCTGTAGAACGCAGAGCAGAATTGCTATTGCAAGATTCAACAGACTTGGAAGCCGAATCGGGATCATCCGACTTTTCTTTTTCACCAGATATCTGCAATCAAATGAAATTCAATCTACATCAACCAAGTCTAAGAAGCATCAAACATGAGAAGTTTTGAGCCACTAGAGCTAAAATTGTTTCGCCATTGTACTGAAAGTACCCATTTGAATTCCACTATTTATCGCATTAGTTATAATTCAAAGCAATCTTCAACATATGCAGACTAAAAATACAACAAACAAGAAGTGCAAAAGGACATGATTAGTAACTTGGCTAGAAATATGCATACCTGGACACCCATGTTGTCGAAAGACTCGGAAGAGTAACCTTTCTTAACTAGCTTTTGGCTAGAAATATGCATCGAAACTTTTGGCTCACTCGGATTGAATTTTGTTTCCTTCGCATCATTATGAGTAGTCCAGTCCATGGCAAAGTGATCTTCTAAAGAAACCTTTCGATCATCTGCTATGGATTTGGACATCTCAGAAGAATTCTCTTGTTCTTTTACAGATCCTTCGGTTTGATCTTTCTCCAGAGGCACGATTTTGCAGATCGACTTCTCGTCCTTACTCCTAAAGAAGTAATTGTCCAAAGAAGTCACCCCTTCATCAATGCAGATATCCTTCACATCATTGACATTAATTTCTTTGTCATAAACTATCGTTTTTGACATTTGACATTCCATGACACTTTTGTCCACATATGAGAATAAGGGTTTCATATTGGATGGTGCAGCAAATGCACTAATGCCATCAGCATTATCCACAGAACAACCCACAGACGAGCCATTAATCTTTGTAGTCATGCAACTATTCCCATCACTAGAGAAATATGAAGATTGAGATGAATCCTCCTGGTTTATCCTCTCTTGACATGAGAGACCAATTGGATTGATACTCATGACCCGGTGTTGCAACTTACTGTAATTGCATTCGAGAGATTCTGGAACACAATTTGGGCTAGTCATTGAATGGTAAATGAAGAACACTTTCTGCAGATACATGATAACAAATGCATGTTAGAACAAGTGTAAATAGTACCAAAATGATAAAGATCAAAATAATCTCTTCTTTACAAAACAACATAAGATCAGTAATAAAAATGCAGAACTTTCAAGTAGAATACAAGACAAAAGAAAATGTTGTTACCCAGTTTCTCAGTTTACAAAAATCATGGAGGCAAAGGACCTTCAAAAGAATCAAACTTCGTGAAAGATAGCACGAACACACGACAGTCAGCAGCTAAGAGCTATCCCTAAGCAAACCTGCCATAAAACATCAATTTATTGAAACAGAAATCCTAGAACTTGGTAAATTGCTGTGAATGGAAGATGAAGAAGAAAAGAAACTATACTTAAAAGGAAGAGTAATACATAAATTTTGCAGTCACAATCAAACAGAACAACATCATAGCCACTTCGATGCTAAAACAGAGTGAAGAGCAAAAAGGCATTCCAAGAAATGGATCATCAGCTGTGACTGTAACCCATTGAAAACTCCTATATATTCTCCTCAGATAGTGTAATATCTCAATTGTTCAAAAGCAAAACAGGAGAATCTATTTTAATGATAATAAAGAGAAAAAGGTTGAGTTCAAACTGGAAAAAGCCAAAAACCAAAAGAAAAAAAAAAGGCCCAACTATTCTAACAGTTATGCATACAATGAAATATCATGTCAGCTCCTGGGTGATTGACCAGGTGCCGAGGTCTGGCCCCTCCAGAATCACTTATTAAAGAACCATATAGAATCGGCTAATTAATAATAGAAGGCAGTGAGTTTTGTATAAAAATTAATTAATCTCAACACAGAACGCTCAATTAAATCAACAGAATCAAGAACACTCAGACTAAATGATCACAGTAAAGTGCATATAAAAGTCATTATTACATGATAAGTTCATTCAAGATATAAATTTAAAAACTCTCTGGGCTATACGTGCTGGGATCCAAAATCCTGTTACCAATACTCGAAAACAAAAAGAGAAAAAGACGAGTGGTAAAAAAGTCGGAAGAACTTTTCAAAAGCAAACAAAACTTTCAACAGAAACATCATAACTTAAAATGATTATATCAACCAAAAGAAAAATCCCCACATATTCTCCTTTATCTTCAACTAATGATGAAATGAAATCGACCCCGACCCCAAACCTCCACCTCGTGTTAATGGGGAAAAAAAAGTAAACCAGCAGAAGGAATTCAAGGCATCAGAGAATGGGGAAAAGAAATATAGGCTGGCAGGGAAGTCAAAAATTCACACGACAATATAATACAGAGTTGAAGAAGAAATTGTGAAGAACAAAAATATGGACCTCCTGAAGCAGAGATTGGAGGTTCACTAAAATTGAGGCAGAAACCCCCTGATAATCAAAAAATGGTGTAGAAAATGGGCCCAAGGAGCGCCCTAGTTTGGTGATTGAATTTATGGAACAGAGAGAGTGAAATTTGAAGAAATGATGGAACTGAGTCAGAGTGGCTTGACTATTTCTGTTATCAGCCTCAAAAAAAGGTCACCTGCCATGGCAGATTACACAGAACCTCTTTCTCTTTCTCTTTCTTTCTCGCATTGCAATTAATAAAGGAAGCGAAACTAAGAGAAACACAAATGCTCTTACCGACTCCGTTTCCTAATTAATACTCCGGAGATACAGTATTCAACGATATTTCCTTCGATAAACCCTAAACCTAAACCCGCTCTCTTTCTTTTAACTTCAAATTACTTACCAAATCAAATACCAGCTCCTCCTCCTTCTTCACTGGAATGACTCCTCGAAGCTCCGTCGTATGCCGAGTTTCCGATCACCGGAGCAGAACAATCGAAAAAGACATCCGTCGTCCTTCTCCGATTCTCCGATCCTCTGTCGCTTTAATTTGTATCGTTATTGAAAGCCGCTTTGTAATTATCGACTTCAGGTGACTGAGAATTCTTAAAAAAACTCTTCAGGTGTTGACAAATCAAATACAGATTCTAATACAGCCTCGTGTATTCCGGCCGGAGATTTGTTAAACTGTCTCTCGCCGGTAAAATCAGCTGACCGGAAGTTACAGTAACTCCGGCGATTTGTAAACGCTGCTGCAGTAAGCTTCAGAATCCATTCTTTTGTTGCCAAATGTATTAATATGCATCTTTTTCTCTATATTAATTGATTTATATATTTTATTTTCGCCAAGTGGGGACCACACCCTACCGTGATTGTGTACGGTCGTGCCTAGATGTTAAATCTTGACCGCGGAATTATGGCCGTTGGATTTTTGTTTTTAATGTTATCATGAGATGACGGTGGCTATTTTTTATTATGGTAGGACACGTGTCACTGAAATTCGCTCACACGTGTGTTCAAGACACAAGTACATGGAAACTTCAGTATCACGTATGATGACGTAATTGACGATCAATTTACAGCCGTTGATTTTCTTTAATTGGAAAATTTTTTAATTTATTATTTAATGACGGAAATTAATATAAAAATAGAATATATATTTTTAAATAAAAGGAAGATTTCAATTGGTTAGTTATTTTATAATTAAATATGGAAACAATTTATTTCTTAAAAAATATATATTTTTTTAGAAATATGTGTTTGGTAGAAAATTAAAAAATTGGATCCCAATTTTTTAAAATTGCATTTTGCAAATTTGGCCAAATATTAATATGATATTACAAATTTAGCAACTAATTTTACAATTATTTGCAAATATAGGAACAAGTTATAACCTGAACCTAACCGAACCAAATTTGTAAAATGTCCATAATTCCCGTAAACGTTGGCATATCTTATTGGTGTCTCATTACGAAGATTAAATTAATGTGTATTTCAAGTATAACATCGCTAGCAGATATTGTATTTTAGCTCGTTACGTATCACCATCCGCTTCAGAATTTTGAAACGAGTCTACCAGGTAGAGGTTTCCACACCTTTATAAAGAATGTTTCGTTCCCCTCTCCAATCAATGTGGGATCTCACAATCCACCCCCTTTAGGAGACCAACGTCCTCACTCGCACACCACCCAGTGTCTAGCTCTGATACCATTTGTAACAACCCAAACCCACCGCTAGCAGATATTGTCCGCTTTATCCCACTACATATCATTGTCAGCCTCAGGGTTTTATAAAACGTGTCTACTAGGGAGAAGTTTTCACACCTTTATAAAGAATATTTCATTCCCCTCTTCAACCAATATAGGGTCTCACAATCTACCCCATTAGGGGACCAATGTCCTTGCTGGCACACCACTAGGTGTTCGGCTCTAATACCATTTATAACAACCCAAACCCACCGCTAGCATATATTGTCCGTTTTAACCCTCTACATATCATTGTCAGCCTCAGGGTTTTAAAACGCGTCTACTACGGAGAAGTTTCCACACCTTTATAAAGAATGTTTCATTCCTCTCTCCAACCAATGTGAGATCTTACAGTCCACCCCCTTTAGGAAACCAATGTCCTCGCTTCGCTGGCACACCACTCGATGTCTAGCTCTGCTACCATTTATAACAACTCAAACCCACTGCTAGCAGATATTGTTTGCTTTAACCTGCTACATATCGTTGTCAGCCTCAGAATTTTAAAACGCGTCTACTAGGGAGAGATTTCCACACCTTGAATGTTTCGTTCCCCTAATGTAACGGACTAAAACGGACAATATCTACTAGCCGTAGGTCCTCAAACGACAAGAAATTGTTCGTTCTTTTAATGCTTGAATGCTCCATTTGGCAAGTGGGGGGGATCCCATTGGGTCTACCCTAAATTCTGAGGGTCTGCCTGCCCTTAAAAACTTCAAGAATAAGACCTTTAAGGGAAAGAGACATGGTGACCCCTACCCAATTTGTAGATACCTAAAAATACCTTTTGTTTTCCTTTAGGTACCCATTTTTTGGCCTATGGTTTTGAAATTGATATCAATAGAAAGGGATGTCTCAACTGCCTTAAATTCATCACTTTCATTAGCATTCATTTGTAATTTAATGTTGCGTCGATATTGAATAGCCAACTCCCTCCGAAATATGATTGTTTGTCGATCACATTAATATCATACGAGTTTAGGTCAGGGAGAGGTTGGATCGGGTCGGGTTGGAACATTTTCTAGACCCAACTCAATTGTTCGAGTCGTAAATTTTTTCAACTCAAACAACATTTATTAAATAATGAACTCAATTCGCTTAACTATAAATTTTTTAGTTCAATTGGTTACCGAGGAGAGTTTGTAGGTTGGATTGAGTTGAGTATTCAAATAAGTTCATAACTTAACCCAAACTACACAAATTGGTTGGGTTAATAAAATTCATCCGTCCTAAAGTAGCGAAATTTCTTATCAGGTAAGTTCCAACCTGCACGAAAGGCATAACGATCTGGGTACTGTCTCGAAGAAAGGCTCGATGAAATAGACATGTCTATGAATATGCAGACTACTTGCACCTGGACAGACCCTATGAAGCTTCACTATTCCCTCGGATTGACTATGGGCCTTTACTGAGTAGTTTATTAGGTGGAGGTCATCGAATTTTTTGAACACCCCTAACAGACATTTTTATAACCATTTCTCCTTTGCAGACGCGTTTTAAAAATTTGGAGAAGTCCGAAAGAAAAAATCAATAGAAGTTGCCAATCTTTTGCCAGCCCTTGAAACTCCTGCAGTTCAACACCAGACGCCGATCTCATGCTAAAAAACAGTGTTCCAATGCACGAAAGGCCACCCGTTCAAGTTTACGAAACCGATCGAACTTACTTGTTATCGAGGTGTGCTATGATCTCTCCACCAGGGAAGCCAATTTAGTAGCCTTGAATGGCTTTAATCGACTCTCTCCAACTCCCCCCAATACCTTTGTCGTTCGTATTTCCCTTCGACTGGTTCCGATCTTCCATAGGGCTGCAGAGATAATAAAATAGTATAAGGGCCTACGGAGATTATTAACATGTTTTTCCAACCTATATCTTCCCACCTACGAGACATGAGCTTTCGAGAGCCTGGTTCATATTTTTTATGTATGTCTCATGTCTTTCAACTCAAGGGATCTCGAGAAAGACAGACCTACCTATTTTGAAAATATTTCAAAGCGGCAAAAACTCGTGATAAAGACTCATAGATAGAAACAATATTTATAAGATTATTTTTCAAAAATTAAATGATTATCGATCCTAATTCAATTTGCTAAAAAAAAAACTATTTTTTAAAGATATATTGAAAGTATAAACACTAAAATAGAGCTAGACTTAGAAGTATAGAGTTAAAAATAGCCTTTTAAAGAAATGATCACATCAACGGGAAGAACAGCCAGACCGACCAATACTTACTGAACTATGTCCATATGGCGAGGTGCATAATGTCCACCCTCGATGCCAAGAAGGACTTTATTGTTCTTATTCTGTTCCCTGAATCACGATCACAGTATCAAATTATATAACATAGAAACGTTCGACAAGAAGATAATATTGCTGAGCAAATGGTAGAACGATGCAAAACATATCATCGAGGGAGGGAAAATTATGAAGGCATCGAAATTAAGAAGTTGTTAACGCTTAAAAACATATCAAGTTATGTAGTTAGTAACTTAATTCATCATAAAGCATTCATTACAAGAGTGTAGAAATTTCGTGTTTTAAAACTTAAAGGGAGGCTCAGAAGGAAAAGCACAAAGAGAACAATATCTGCTAGCGGTGATTACATAGACATCTTTTTCATGGGTAGGCTTAGAAATTATTTTGAATAATGCATACCAACAAATGAGTGATAAAATGATGATACAAAGAGACCGAGCTAGCTTCGGTGACATGTTATCAAGCAGATAGAGCGATTATAAATTTAAATAAAAGTTGGAAATGTAACGGTTTAAGCCCACCACTAGTAGATATTGTCCTCTTTGAGCTTTCCCTTTCAGGCTTCCCCTCAAGGTTTAAAAACGCGCCTGCTAGGGAGAGGGTTCTACATCCTAATACATCGTTTCCCTCTTCAACCGAGGTGGGATCTCATAGAAGAGATCACAATCCACCCCCTTCAGGATCATCGTCCTCGATAGCATTCGTTCCCTTCTCCAATCAATGTGGGATCCCTAATCTACTCCTTCAGGCCCAGTGTGTTAGGGAGAGGTTTCCACACCCTTGTAAATAATGTTTCGTTCACCTCCACAGTCGATGTGGGGTCCCACAATCCACCCCTTTGGGGGCCAGCATCCTCGATGACACTCGTTCCCTTCTCCAATCGATGTGGGATCCCCCTAATCCACTCCCTTCGAGACCTAATGTCTTTGTTTGGACACCACCTCGTGTCCACCCCTTCGAAGCTCAACCTCCTGACACATCGCCTAATGTCGGAGTCTGATACCATTTGTAACACCTCAATGGTTGGAGAGGGGAATGAAACATTTAGGGCATGAAAACCTCGAAGTCCAAAAGAACAACGTATCTTATATCTTCTATATTGATTAAAGAAACTGAGTAAAGAAACACTGGAATCGTACCAATCCGATGAACAGTGAGGGCAGGACGATTCGAAACGGCAGTATGCCGGCTGAAGAAAATGACCTCGTCCACGACCACGCCAGCAAGCTCCTCCCAACGAATATCTAGGTCGTCCTCAACTACAATGCTCCTACCGTGTTGCAGCAGCCTCACCTCTCGATTAGCGAAGCTTTTCATTTCCAAATCAACAGAAAAATCCGATTAATCGAAGGGAGAAACAGAAACACTTAAAATTGGAAATCGGTGCAGGAGATTAGAGGACCTGGAGAGAAGGACCGGGGCGCCATCCGGGCAAGCGAGGAGCTCGTTTGCAGGATTGATCGAAACTATCGTTGCCGCCACTAACGTCGCCATGGTTGCCTCTTTGTTGCTCTTTCTGTGAATTGAGGGTTTAACAGAGCGAGATGGTTGTTGAATCGAATGTCTAGGGCGCCTCAGCCAATAGATTCTTGAGATTCTTCTGCAGGTGCGTTTCCGACGGTTCGCATTCGCTTTGGCACTCAAGACCGCTGCGATGGGTCCAGTTACCCATTTTTAGCAGCTATATATATAAAAAAGAATTCATTAAGCCATTTACGGATAGGGGAAAGAGAGAAGCAACTAACTATAAAGGAGAGGAGCTCATTGTCAAGGTCATGCTCGTCCATGGAGTGTTGCCCCATGGCCGCATGCCCATGATAAGCCAAACCCTTGTCATGTCTTTCCATTATAGTTGTAGTTCTAGAGCGTATGACGCCTAAAAAATATCATGTCTAGGTCTGTCAGACATGAAATGCCTCAGAATATAGCATAGGGGATATGCCTAGTTATCAACTTCTCCCTACCCAAGATTATATATGCTAAGCGATTGTTATCTTTCTCTTGCTTGCTTATATAACGTCTCTTTCTAAAATCTCTCTCTCCTCGTTTCTAAAGCCTCCTTTTAAAACCGAGGCTAGAGGCTCGATCATACGTCGCTTAGCCGTAGGCGACGCAAGAACAAATTGGCTTAGCTCACTTGTCGTTGGAAAGTGAGTGCCGCATAATCGCTTCAAAAATCTCTCTTTCTAAAATCTCTCTCTCCTCGTTTTCTAAAACCTCCTTTTAAAACCGAGGCTAGAGGCTCGATCATACGTCGCTTGACCGTAGGCGACGCAAGAACAAATTGGCTTAGCTCGCTTGTCGTTGGAAAGTGAGTGCCGCATAATCGCTAGTCCGCTGCCTTCGAAAGTGTAATTGTGTCACTGATCATATATTTCATAACTAATATATTTTTAAAATATTAACTGATTACAAATATATGACTAAATTCAAACTATCAATCTACCAATAACTTACACTAAATTCTAACCGTTACTGTAACGTCTGAATTTAAATTTAAATGTTTTTTTGTTTATTTTATTCCGCATTTTTTTAATGAACTCAATCGATCCTAATTAATTTTTTTAATGGATTGGTTTGAGTTGTTGGAGTGACTTATTCCAATTTTATTTTTTAAATAAAATTAAAATATTAATTACAAAATATCTATTTATTTATTTCATTATATATTTATTTGAAATTTTTGATTAAGAATAGTGGTCGGAGAATAAATAACCCAAAAAATAAGAAATTAAATAAAAATATATAATAAATATATGTTTTTATAATTATATCAATAAATTCAGGTTGGTTCGACTCAATGTAATAAATGGAAAATTTTACGGGATGAGAAATGAAATAACTGGTAGAGATAGGGACGAATAAGGTTTTCTCATTTCTGTCTTGCCCCTTTGACATCTCACCTATATTATACGTTCCTCAAGGGTAAAATTGTAATTTGGAGAAGTTGTAAAGTGCAAAATAAGAAAAACGACGCAACAGTGTATAAAATATAGTAATAGCTTAGAAGAAGAATGACCTAGGGTTTCCCTCTTCCTCGAGTTTTCATAATTTATGATTAATTATGATTGATATTCGTATAATGATTAATTGACCTAAACTTATTCCAGTAACAGTATTCTCAAACCTATTTTTCTCGACATGTTACGATCTCACTCACAAACAATTACGTCGTAAGAGACATCAAATCTGGTTTCGAATCGAATCTTTTTTAATATTTGATCGTCGATTTTTATTTAGTAGACGATGATTTTGAAAGAATTTACGATCGAATATAAACGAATTTTGTATAAATTTAAATTAAAATATGTGATTTGGGGTTGATAGTTGTTAGTTTTAATTTAAGAACAAAATCAGAGAATTTTCAACCTGGTCAAATTTTCAGATCACGTTCCACGGATGAGTTGATTTTTTGTCCCACCCACCGTTACCGGAGTTCAACCAAGAAATTTACGAGATTCAATCGCTCTGTCGGCAACCCACCATCACTACCAGATCTTCTCTCCGTTGACGGCAGCTCTCTCTCTCTCTCTCTCCTCCAGTTCAGGTATGCGTATCGCCCAATTCCATACTTTCCTACTCTTCCTATTTTCTGTGTTGCTTATCTGACCTAATTTCTTGAATTTGTTTATTCTGCTTCAATCTGCGTCGACTTGTACATGTTTCTGTGTATGGATGTGAATCTCTTTTCGTTTGGTGTTTTTCGTCATCTATGGTCGTTGTTTGCGGATTCAACTTTTGATTCTTTCATTCTGTCGGTCTCTTTTCATTCTTTTTATGATTTCTATTTGCGTTAATACAATTATTCAAGGGGGGGAAAAAAGCTTAAGGCGTCCGTTGGAATTGGATGGTGAAGTCCTCGATTCCAAGGTAGGATTACGTCGGTTTCCCGATTCCTAGTCACTGTTGGTTTAGGTTGCGGTTGCTAATTTCAAACAAATGGAGACTATAGGGGCTGAGAATTGCCAATTTCTAATGAATAAACGCGATGTTGAGGATGAAAGCTTATGATGATTATACTTTCATATACCTGGGAGTTCGTATATAAACTTTGCAGATGATGTTTGGAGGAAACCGTGTTATATAACATGCATTTATATTACTAGGGCTCTTATTAACGTTATGAAATATCATGTTCTCTAGAAGACGGATGCCTTCTGCAGTATCCTTTTCCTATAAGATATAATTTTCTGATCAACTGTTCCTCTCACTTTGGACGTTATCCTTGTCCCTAGGTTTTAAGATTTTTCCACACATGATTTGTCTTGTTGTCCATAAATATTATGTATAGGGAATCATAGTCTCTTTTGTAATGTTGGTTACTTTTGAAAACATTTACGTGTTACTTTGTTTCTTGTTCGTGTTCACATGTGTATGATAATGAGTTAAGCTAAGCAATCTTATCCTTGGATGTCACAAAGGCAAGCATTTTGAATCCATTGTTGGAATTGTGTTTTTGGATGATAACCTATAACTTATGCATGTGTATTGCATAGCTTTTTTATGATTCTTTTATCAATAATTTTGAGCATTCAGCTTTTTCTCTGATGCATTTGTTTAGTAAGGACATGTCTTTCTTGTTTTAATGATAATTCCTTAGATAATTTCTTTCAATTAAAGAGAAAGTGATTGTAAAGGACCTTTTTCTTAGAATACTTAGGAAATATAGGATGAAAAAATCAAGTCACTATTCATCATATTCCTTGTTTCATCCTGTAGTCTTTACCAAACAGAGAGAGAGAGATATAGCATATATCCTGTTAACTTCTGGTTCGACTTTCTCTTTAGAATGAATTGACTCTCCTTCCTGTAAAGTTCAGGGACTCGGGTTGAACTATTTTACGGTCTGGTCTCTTCTCTTGAGGAAAGAAAAGAAACCGAGATTACAGTGTTTGAAGGTTCCGGTATTCTGTTCCTATTCAATGCTGAACCTGAACCTTTAATTTAATGTCGAGTAAAATAGATTGCTTTCAGAAGAAAATGAAAGAAGAGGAAGAATCTCTCTATTCCCTATTAAAGAGGTCATTTCACTAGGGAAAGCAGCATACCACTCATCCCGTAGCTACCCTGCAATAAGACCCTCTAAAGCCGGTCGGTTTCACGGGATTTAGCCAATTGTCTTGATCAGGAAAAGGTTCCTTCTTTCATGAATTTACTCTCCCGTAGAGAAAGGAATATCTGATTCTTTCTCCTTTGATATTGGTGTTGAATCCCCTATCGTGTTAAAAGTTTTTTCTTGTTTATAAATTTATTTTGCTTGGCTTATTTGTTTTTTTTTTGTTTTTCTATCAGAAAAAGAGCTGTGTCTGGTATGCATAATGACGTGAAGGAGACGGAATTGATTTAGTGGAAACATGGCAAAGGGAAGTCATGAAAATGTTGCTTTCATAGATGTTGAGAATTATCGGTTGGATGATGTTATCATCATTGATGATACTGAATTTGTTACTAAGAAATTTCAAAGGCCCAAAGTAACAGCAAAAAGCAGAAAAAGTCCTCCGTGTATATATGTAGATGGTTGCAGCTCAGATGAGGATGCCTGCTCACCTTCAAGAACCTTTCCTTCGTCCTCTCAGCGGCATTTTGTAGAGTTAGATGGTCGACAAAGCCGAAAACAATATGCATTTTTTATGGGAAAGTGTAGGCGAGGCAACTGTGGGAAAGCACCAGTTAGAAATCATTTTGGTTTACATATCAGTTCCCACAGCAGTTCCTCAGATAGTGATAGTTCTGATTGTGAAGTTATGGAAGGGTCTTTTGAAAATCTCCGAAAACAGTGGGAAGAGGCTTCTCTGAGGAGAAAGCATGATGTTCGCCGTGCTTACTTCAGAGAAGATGACCAAGATAAGGCATCTGCTTCTCATCGTGTTGATTCTGATACCAATTGTGATGTAGAAAATCAAATGAAGCAGAAATCTGAAGTACAAGCATGTTCCAGTTCTAAAAATGCTGAAAATGGTGGCTGCTGTTTGTTGACTGGACCAAAGAGCAATTCAGCTGAAAATGGTTCTCTTACACCCTTCACTGTGAAGGATCTAATTTGTGAACGGGAAAGGCTGAAGGAGACTGATGAATACAGGCGAGCAATGGAAGAAGAATGGACAACTAGGCAACAAGAGTTACAAATTCAGGTCTGGGTCTGAATTGACTCTCTTATACGAAATATAATTACATTTAGCTTACCAACTAAAGAAAATCTAACCATCAAGGGATTTGCTTGACAGAGTTTGATGCAGTGTATTATTATAATTTTAATTGATTTAGTTAGTTTTTAGCTGCTGAATGATTTTTAGTTAGCTTGTCTGGTAATTGGTTAGTTGGTTGTTAGTAAGTGGTTTACATATTGGACTAGTATCCTCTGAAATAGTGGGTTAGTCACTTGTATCTTAGGATGACTTTTGAATAATAATAAAAACTCGTGGTTGAGAATTCATGGGGTTTAGGCTCTTTGATTTTGGGTTACATTAGCTTTACACGTGGAAGACGAGTGCTCCTTGCGCCAATAAACAGAACATGGAAAAGAAAAATTACTTTTCATGATATTAGATAATTTATCAATCAGCTGCTTGGGTTAGGACTCAATCTGAAGTATATGTGGTCGAGGATAACTTGGAGTATTTTATCCATGCATGGCAGGAAAATTGGATAACAAGTTATTTAGAAGA